GTGCCAGCCTGCATGCACAGTGGCCCCCACTGCCCCAGCCCTAGTACTTCAGGACCCTGTAGCTGTGAGCCAAAAAAGCCTTACAGCAACTTAAGTGTACATGGCCTGGGTACCTGCCAGCAGTGACTGAACCACATGTCACAGGGTTGCCTACATGCAGACTCTGTCCCAATGTTCTGTCCCCCAGCTTTCCAACTGGAAAGCCATTGGTGAGCCACCTGCACCAGCTCCCGCTTAGGAGAGGGGGGTGTTTATGTTGGTGTCCAGGTCACAGGACCTAGCCTCTGAGATCATATCATAGTAAGGCAGGAAGGGACCTCAAGAGATTATCTGGTGCAACTAGGGATCACATCTGTGACCTTGGTGTTACTAGTACCATACTGTAACTGACTGAGCTAAATGGCTGCTCTGTGAGTGCCAGGGTTAAGATGGCTGTGTTTGAGCATGAGGGCATGGCAGGATGCCAGGGTCAGGGTCCATGGGGATGTGCCCAAGTCTGGGCTGAGTGCTAGTGCACCTCCCTAAAAGGGAGGATTTGGGGGGTGCAAAACAGTCCGGGATGCCAGAGGACAGCGATGTAAACTTGAATTGATAGGAAAATAATACAGGAGCTCAATGCACTGGTTTAACAAAAATTGATCCAAATTGAGCATCTCACACCAGGTCTATCTTAAACCACTTGCACCATTTTTAGACTAGTTTGTGTGCGCCAAACTTCTGCATAGTTATGGGTTTAGATTGATCTATATTCACTTAGACCAATCTAAGTGTGATGTCTCTACATGCCCTATATTATTATATTTGTACACCAGCCTAAGTCCTGCACAAGACATATCACTAAGTCATTTTCACTGTAGATTAGATATAACACTTTTATGTTTTTATTTGATCAAGTAAAATATCTATTTGTTTAAGCACAACTTTGTAAATACTGGGTATACTGTGTGTATGTGTGCGCAAGTATGCAAGAGAGAAAACCTTAAAAACACATTTGGCATGTTGATTCAAATATAAGTGCTACAAGTTCTGGTTAGCAATATAAGTTCTGGTTAGCAACTAAGCCTAGTAAATTTGTGGAATTTTTTGCTTCTGGAATAAGATTTCTGGAATTTTTAGTTCTTGTTTTTAAACAAGCTAAAGATACCACTTTTTTTTTCCTCTCTCAGCTATTATCTTCTCTTAAGTGGCACATAATAAGGACATTAGACTCTTCCATTGTGGTGTTCTGGCGGGAAGAGAGAAGGCATATACATTTCCTAAATGCGCTTCCTTTCTCCATTTTTATGCAACACAGAAAGCACACCAAAAACACACATTTGTAAACCAACATGGATATTCCATTAATCAATCATGTAAAGAGCCAGAGTCTGATTCGCAGTTACTGTAGTCCTGCAGGTGGGCCAAAAAGGCAAAGATGGCTTAACAGTTTTGCACCAACTTTAAGGCCGTTACCTTGCTCAAGCTCTAATTTATAGCAGACTCAGACTGTTCTAGCTTATTTTCTTCTTAACCTGACCAACCTGAGACACTGGAGACCAGAGAACAGCAGAACCATATAGCTGATCTGTAACCTAAGTAATAGAATTTGCCAAAAGGCTATGGAAAATTCAACATTTAACTGCCTTAAGCGGGGAGGGAAGCTGCCATACAGGAGTCTGCATGAGCTGCAACAATGTAATGCTTATGTCTACATGCTCCTGTAGCAATGCAAGCCAGCTAAAACACTGTAATCCTAAAAAAGGGTTAAAGTTACAACAGTTTTCCTACATTTGTGTCAGTGCAAGAATGTGCAAATGTAAGTTTGACTGTTAGCTTTTGAGATCAATACAATTATTGTATCTGTCTATACCTATTGTTTAGACTGACTGGCAAAATGCATATCAAACTCAAAACCTTCAAAATTTATTTCCAATCCATGATGCACATTCACCCATCTTTCCACACAACAAATTTTATAGAAAAAGTTAGCACTGGGATTTAAGAAATTAATTGATTTATAATTTGTAATTTTGCTCAAAGTCTTTGCTTACAAAATGGTATATTCACATTATTGTAAGAAGTTTAAGCTTTTGGTAACAGTAACATTACTTGTAACAAAAGACTACTCCTGTCAGTGCTGACTTGTATGACAGACTCTTCTGACAATTTGTCTTTGGTCTCATATCTTCAGAAGGTTAAACCCATAGTCTGTATACATGCTGCCTGTTAAACTGCAGATATATGACAGTCTTAACAAATCCTAACATAATCCACGGCTCTTGTGTCAGATGACATGCATTGACAGTGAAGCATGAATAACAGCAAGGTTAGAAAATCAGGCAAAAATTCTTCTACTGTTTGTTGTATTGGTGTCACTCATTCTCAAAGTCAATTTTGGTGCAAAGAAAACTAAAGGGAAAAAAACCTTCTCCATTGTCCTGTCAATGTCTTTTAACATTATCCCATTAAATTACACACACATAGAGAACAGCATCATTAGAGTGTAACCTTTCCCCGTAGCTGCTACCATTTGTTTCTAAAAATATTTATTTGTCACTCAGAACTTCATCACAAACACAAAACTGTAAAAAAATTTAACCGAGTGAAACTTTAAAAGACATTCCTGATTATTACTGTCATGGGTATATAAGGCACAAGTCCTGGCTAACACTCCAATTTTACATCATTCATTTTGCAATTTTTTTTTTAATGAATCAGACTTTTTCTAATAAATTTGTTTCTTTTTCACTTAAATGACTTGACTCCAAACTCAATGTTGTGTAGTTGGGTAATGTAAGAACTTGAATAAGGTTATCTTCATAAACATCTGAATACATTTAAAACAAAACAAAAACATGAAGGAGAACTTGTGTTAGTTTTTTGATTTTGTTTGTTTTTTATCCATCAACAAGTCCAATATCAGGAAAAATAAAGTAGCATAATATCTGGTTTTATTAGTTATCATAATGAAGAAACTGCTCCTAACAATAAATGATTACAGAATCACACACACACACACACACACACACACACACACACACACACACACTATTCTCATATTAAAAGGTTAGACCATGGCTGTGATTCAGGAAGGTACTGAGGTATGGTGCTAACTTTAGGCACACAAGTCAAGGTGACTATCCATTTGCTAAATCATAGTTCCTATGCTCACCCTTAGTTCTCATCACAATCTAATCTGTCAGGCAGCAGCACCCTCATAACTTACTATGCTCCTCCCAATAGGTTACCACCTACCTTCTCTTGAAATCACTGTAGACGGATTCACAAAGCCCTGAGGTAAGGCTACTTAATACTGATAAGAGAACATAGCCAATTCTCCTGTGCTCAGCATTGCACAAACATGGTCACTCTGCTTCCAGGCCAGGAAGGGGCATGTGTATCATTTTTGAGGACTCTGCTGCCTGGGCCTGCTAAGTTTGCAGTGCAGATATAGCCTTATTGTGCTGTTGGTCTAGGGTCTTAATCTCATAGTTTCATAGTTTGTAGGGTTGGAAGACACCTGAGCAGATCATCGAGTCCGACCCCCTGCCATGGCAGGAATGCGTACTGGGGTCAAATGATCCCAGCAAGGTGTTCATCTAGCCTCCTCTTAAAGACCCCCAGGGTAGGAGCCAGCACCACTTCTCCTGGAAGTTGCTTCCAGATCCTAGCCGCCCTGACAGTGAAGTAGCGCCTCCTGATATCTAGCCTGAATCTACCCTCTGCCAGCTTGTGACCATTATTCCTAGTCACTCCTGGTACTGCTCGGGGGAACAGGGACTCCCCCAATGCCTGCTGGTCCCCTCTGACTAGTTTGTAAACAGCCACTAGATCCCCCCTCAGGCTTCTCTTGTGGAGGCTGAACAGGTTCATGTCCTGTAGCCTCTCCTC